CCGCCTCGCCCAGCCCCGCCGCCTCGCCCAGCCCCGCCGCCCAGCCCAGCCCTGCCGCCTCGCCCTCGCCCCCGCCTGCAGCCACGCTTTCCTGCAGGCTGGTCGGGCTGTCCAGCGGCGCGGGCGAGGAGTTCGGGTCCTGCGCCTCCCTTCCCTCCTTCGGCAGCGGGCTCAACCTGTTCTGGACCGCACGCGAGGCCTCGGGGTCAAACGCGGCCACGGTGACCTGGGGCATGAATACCAGCGCCAGCGACGGCTGGGTGGCGGTCGGCTTCCCCGCCTCGCCGGGGGAGATGGTGGGCGCCAACGCCGCCATCCTGTCCTCCTGCCCCACCTGCGCCTCGGGGGTCAGGCTGGAGGGCTACTACCTGGCCGGCACCAGCCAGGCGGACGTCCAGCCCCCCTCCCGCATCCAGCTCTCCGACATCTCCGCCTCGCGCCTGGACGGCGGCGGCATGGCGGGCGCGTTCACCGTGACCCTGGCGACCAGCGGCACGGCCCGCCGCCGCGGCCTGCTGACCCTGGGCACCCAGCCCATCATAGTGGCGTCGGGGCCCGTGGGCGCCGACGGCTCCATCCAGTGAGTGCGGGGCGCCTGGCAGTGGTCCGGGGGGCCCTTGAGGGCAGGGGAGGCTTGCCAGGAGAAGGATGCCAGGGTGTGGCGACGGCATGCCGCATGCTGTTTCAGGAGCCGGCACGGCAGTCTGGGTGCTCGACTGAGAGGGCTCTGGCACCTGTCCACCACACAACATCAACGCCCAAGGGCCCCTGCTGTCGTGCCGATACCGAGTCAGGCCGGGCACATGTTCGCATCCAGCAACTCCCAAAACCCCCTTGTGCGCACAGGCAGCACGACCTGTATGGGGCAAGCACCGTGAACCTGGCAGACGGGGGCTCGGCCAGCGTGGACGGCACGTCCGACGACCTGAGCCTGATCAAGGTGCCGGCGATGGGATTGGGGTCGTGATCATCGAGCGGGGCTCTCTTGAGGGTGGCGGGGAAGTTCAGGAGGGGCTGCCAGGCCGGGCTCGAAGTTTCGCATGCCTCCCTGACCCTCCTTGCCGGCAAGTGCAGCGTGACACATGTCACTCGGTACAAGCGCTGTGATGTCTGGGGCGGTCTATTCGTGCGCCCACTTCAACCAAATAACCATTTTATCTTTCCACATCGCCAACCCATCCTCCAGGTGCACGCCGCGCTGCTCACCGTGGGCTGGGGCATCCTCATCCCCACCGGCATCCTGCTGGCCCGCTCCTTCAAACGCCACGACCCCCTCTGGTTCTACGGCCACATCGCGGTCCAGACCCTGGGCCTGGCCCTGGGCATCGCCGGCGTGGGCATCGGCTTCCACCTCGTCGGCGGCTGGACAGCGCCCAACGACACAGTGCAGACTCACCGCGACCTGGGCGTCACCATCCTGGTCCTGGGTGTGGTGCAGGTGTGTTGGGGTGCGGAAGGGGGGATGGTCATTTTTCGGGTGTGTGTGTGTGGGGCGGGGGGGGGCGTGGGGCTGAGTGGAGGGCAAGGCAGGCCAGGCATCTATCCCCGTGTGGAGCTGTACAGGTGTGGCGTGCATGCTTGTGAGCTCAGAGTGCCCCGACCTCGGGCGACCCACTCATACAATGCCTCCACACACCCGGGAACCCCCCCTCCCCCAATCCCACTCTCGGCTGCAGTTCCTGCTGGCGCTCACCAAACCGCACAAGGAGCACCGGCGCCGTGGGTGGTGGAACCTGGTGCACAAATGGCTGGGGCGCGCCGTCGTGATCATCGCCATCGCCAACATCTACTAGTGAGTGTCTTATGCCTGGGTGTGGGGAGCGCGGGAAAGAGGGGGGAACGGGGTGTTGAGTCGTTGAGTTTCAAGACTTTGGGCTGCAGCACAGCAGCAGCTGCGCCCCTCGATAGCCCATTCCAGGGCGTGCAAGCACACTACAACTCCCCCCCCCCGCCCCCTACCCCTCCACT